GAATCTTCTGCTTTAGCCTCCTGAGTAGCTAGGATTCTAGTTTTGCACCATCATTCCTGGCAACATGATTGGTTTTATGTGACCACTTCTTCAGATTATGGTAAAAGACTACTTTCTGCTTCTTATTTGAGAAACTTTTGCCCTTTGGATTTCTCTTTAGTAGGTATACCACAGGCTGCTTAATTTGATGTGGCATGTTTTTCTTTTCTTCCAACAGTCTAAAATGAAAAGTTATTTTTTAGTTTTGTCAGATACGGTAATGTTCAGTCTTCTAATCCTGAGGTTATAGTGCAGTTACTTTGGATTTGAAAATTGCTGTATGTTTCAAGTTATACATGAATATGTTGCTATAGATTATTTTTTCGGATAGATAAACCTTTTGGATCTTAATTTTATTTCCAGCTCTAGACAGTGCAGAGCCTATCTTTCCACATTCTGTCAATGAAATGCTGTAGGTAAATACTTATGTGTGTGCCAGCTCATTCCTTCTTTTTTGTTCCAGAATCTAGGGAAGGTATTGTGGTTATTTAATTATGTCAAAAGCATAGCTCCTTAGTTGTTTTATATTATTTGCTTTAATGTATTTCTTTGTCATGACTACTGGTTGCATATCGGTACTTAAAATAGGCATTCTCTCACTTGAACATTTGATGTAGACAATATTCATATGTGGAGTATTAAACTGTTCACTGTATCTAGCAACAGATTGCCTTGACCTTTTTTCTAGTGCTTTTGTAAGGAAGCATTTTTCTGTGGGTATGAGTTTGCATGTAAATATTTATAAATCTCCCTGCCATTCTTTTTTTCCTGACCTTTGCAGTATGGCCAGCTTTCCTCTGCCAGTCTCCCCCATGCCCAGCTGTCATGCAGCCAGCCATGGATTAGACCCACTCAAGCTGTGAGCCGAAAGCAACCTCTCCTCCTCTAAGTTGCATGTGTCTGGTGCTTTGTCCAGTGACAGTGAAGTGACTGAGACAGTATCAGCACTTAAAGTGGCTATATTCTCACTTGAACATTTGACATGGAGAATGTTCATGCTTGAGCGTATTAAATTGCTTGCTGTGGATAAAACCAAACTGATTTAATTCTCTTTCTGGTGCTATTATAAGGTAGAGTGTTTTTTTTTTTTTTTTTTTAAATGAGTATATGAGTATGTATTTACAAATTTTAAAATCAGATAAAAACTTAAACTTTTTTCTTGAGATTTAATGCAGTAGACATTATGATGGGTGCTTTTTATATAAACATCAGTTGATAGGAGATTATGAGGAATCAGAGTAATAGATGCAGTGAAAGAATCCCCAGTCCTTTCTGATGTGCTACTTTGAGGAAACTATTTTTTGATATGCTCATGAATTTATTATTCTCCACTAGACTATTATTTTAACACTCATGTCAAGCAAGAGTTGTCAGATATCAAATTGTGCTTCTTTCTGGAAGATAATTCAAAATATTATTGCTCTGTAATTTTCTGTGCTGTTATAAAGAGCAAATATGTCTGTACCAGTGTTCATTGTACTGTGGAAACTCAAGTGGGATTTGTGTTCTGAAATATCAGTCCTCAGATCCTGGGCATCCTGGTGCTCATTGCAGCTGTGTCACTAACTCAACTTTGATCGTTTCATTTGTTCATTTTTTGGAGGGGCAGTTCTGCGGATTGAACCCAGGGTGTTGTGCAAACGAGGCAGGCCTTCTACCACTGAGTTATATCATCAGCTCTTTTTATTTTGAGACATTTCTTGCTAAGTTTTACCCAGCTAGCTTTGCACTAATCATCCTCCTGCCTTAGGCTCTTCAGTTGCTAGAATTCTAGGTGTGAACCAACACATGCAGCTATTGCACAACTTTTAAAATATCAGTTTTCTTGTCTGAAAAGTAGGGAAATAATACTATCATTATTAATTTTTATGATGATTCTGACCAATTATTTCTTAGATTTTATGCCTTCTATAAAAGATGGAAAGGATTCTTTATATTTTGGACAAGAATAAGTTGCTGTTTTAACTTAGAGATATGTTTCAAGAAAATGTGAACTATTAAAATAACTTTGTGTTCCCATTTTAATTTTAATTAACATTTCAGGACCATTTGAGGGGAAGATATGATAATTCATGCTCTTAAAAGTATTAGTCTCATCAGCATTCACAGTTTGAAGGAATAAAAGCTTTTAAAAATATGTTTGTGCTAGATATATTTTTAAAGAAAAAAATCAGGCTTTCATTAACCTGAACAAATGCACTTCAATAATACAGGATACATAAAGGGAATGGTTGGAACAGGAGTAGTGTGATAATTTGCATTAAAATTTTTGTTGCTTTGGTTACATAAGATGTGTGGCATTGATATTCAATGACTGGACTATGAGTTTTCATTGAAATTATGGCTCTAGTTTGCCCTACCATTTTGGAGCCAAATTCAATAAAAACATGAAATAATGTTCAATAAATTATTAAATCTCTGTCCCTAGTTGGGACCCTTCCTCTTAACTGTCTGGTGTTCTTCTTACTCCCTTACAATCAGGCCTGGGCTGTTTGGTGGCCCAGACTGGTGCTGAGTGCTGTCGTGTGCAACACTCCACCCACTTCTTCCTTCTCATCTTTGTCCAAGTGCAGCAACTGCCTGGAGCTTTCTCTGCCTCTGTTTATGTCCTCCCCTCATCCTGTCTGCTGATAAAAGTCCTCCCTAAGTTTCTCATGAAGCCATTTCCTGTCTGTTTTGCCTGTACATTCTTTCCCCTTCATTGCATGTTATCTTGTGCATCTCCCTGTCATTGAAAACATTTTACTTGATGTTGTGCTATCTATTGTCTTTCACATCTCATCTGCTATAAACCTTGTGTTTGTGGATTATAAGGTGCTGGTCTTCTTCATTATTTTGTTCCCTTAAGCACTTAGTATAATGCCTTAAATGTGCTTAATAATTAAGTAATTGAATTACTTCATTTTATAGGAAGCAGGCTTCTTATTTGATTTAATTATTAGTGATTACAGAGTATCTTGGATGTCTGGAAGTGACTCTAGGTGTTGTATCTATAGTTCCTTAAAAAGAAGCAGATGTTAGCTTCCTCACAGAGATTGTTAAAGAAAATGCAAGATTTTTTTATTTGATAAGCTATTTCACATTTACTATAAGAAAAGCATTGGTGTGCAGTGATGTGCTTAGTACTGTTAAAAATGTAAAACAAAACTTACATGTTCCCATTCATTAGTAAGTTTTTTCAGGATCTGAAATCAAAAAATTATTTCAAAGTATTCTTAAGTTTCTGAAATGGAATATGCAATGGTGCTTTGAAAATAGTTATTTTCTATTGTTTTTTTTTTTGCCTTTTTGAGACAAGGTTTCACTATGCAGTTCAAGTTGGCCTTGGACTCACTTTGTAGCCCAGGCAGGCCTTGAACTCATAGTGACTCTCCAGCTTCAGCCTTCTAAATGCTGGAAATACAGACATGCACCACCATGCCCAGTTTATTTTGTATTCTTATTCATTAAATCCTTCTCTTTGTCCTTCCTAGAAGATATTGATAAGGCTTATCATATGGAACTGGTCCCTTTATAATTTTTTGTTGGTTCTAAATGTGTATTAAAAAAAAAAGTTGGACTACAAAACAATCAGCTGAGTACAGAGACTTCCCATTCACAGTGATGTAGTCACTGTTCAGAAACCTGGCTGCAGACAGCTCAGCTTTCTCAGTTGGCTTCAGAAACTCAGAGATTTCTGGAGCAGTAAGGCACCCTGCTTGGTGCAGAAGATCTACTAGTGAGGAACCAAAAAAACCCAAAAAGTGAACAAATCTTCAGAACACACTAAAACTCATATATATGGAAAAGAATTGAGAACTTCAGCATTTAATTTTATTTATTTTATTTAATGTATTTAGTACAGGGTCCATATGGTCTCACTACATAGATCAGACTCAGTAATCCTCCTGTTTTTGGCCTTCCAAACTGAGGTTACAGACGCACATCACCACATCTAGTCTCATTCGCAGTCTGAGTGCGCCCCAGAGGCGAGGCCAGCATGGCAGGCCAGGGATCAAACCCCAGTCCCGTCTGTTGAGCTATCTTGCTTGCCCTTAACATTTAATTTTAAAATGCACAAAGAATCTGAGTAGTTTCTAGGAAAAAAATAAAAGCACTGCTTTGTTCTGTCTTTTAGTACAGAAATCATTATTTGGTGTATATACATCTGCTTGAATGAATAATGTTCATATAAAATAAACTTCAACTTCCTGTAAGGCAAAGAAATTCTTATTGATACAGAAATGTGTATCTTTGAACCACCTTTTATAGGGCTTATTCTAGGAAAATATTTCCTTAACTGAACATAGATTTCATATGTAGGTTTGTATATTCTAGAATACATCTCAAAAATTCAAATGTGTGTATAAATGAGATATGTATGTATGTGTATACATATTTATATGTATCATACTAGACTGCTTATGAGTATATATGGTGTATTTGAGGGATGTTAGGAATCTGGCAGGAAGCATAAGTAACCAAGAACTAACTTCTTCGGAGCAAGAATAGGTAGGTGGGTACTGTGGAGAAATTTGGCCATTTTCAGGATATAGAATATTACTCCTATTTATTCTTGTTTGATTCTTTTTGAAATGTATTTTACTTATATATTGTTCAAAAAACTAAGAAAGAATATATAGTTTTAAGCATATTTTCATTAATATTTCAAGAACTCATTTGAAAGTTTAACTTGTTTGGAAAATATGGTTTTCAAGAGTGATTCATATCCATGTGACTTCCGTATGATTGTTTTGAAATGAGATAATAGTGAAAGACATTGTCGGATTTGTCTAGTGTTCTTTAGTACTCTGATAAATGGACAGACAGTCTTATATTTTCCTTAAGCATTTATAAGAAAATATTGATTCATATTAGCTGGGCTTATTATTTGGAGAACTCTTTATATGCATAACAGCAATTTCCCATGGCACATTTGAGAGCAAATAATTCATACTTTCCCCCCCGCTTCAATTTCCTAGGAAAGCACAAGAGGAAAACAAGAAAGTAGTGCTGGCCGGGTGTGTCCCGCAAGCCCAGCCTCGTCAGGACTACCTTAAGGGACTGAGTATCATCGGGGTAAGTTTGTACAGTACTTGACAGGATAAAAAAAAAAAATCTTAGATTGTTAGCTTTAGATAGCATTATATTTTATTTGGTATTTCTCCATTGCTTATGGCTGTCGTAAACACTTTCCTTCTTACCCCCTGAAACTTTGTCATGTCTATGTAACTATTCCACTTTGCCACAAAAAATTGATCTGGGTTTTCTCATTAAGGAAGAATAGTGCGATGAAAAGGCCTAGTGTTGAATTTATATCCTTTCATAACCTCATCTTTGTTTCTTTTGCCATTGTCATCTCTGTCTGCATCATACAATTTTCTGTCTCCCATTGGACTTTTTTTTTTTTTTTTAATATATTTGGTACAGGGTCTCACTGCACAGCTCAGAATTGTAGTGATCCTCCTTTTTCCAGCCAGCCCAGCACTGGTATCATAGGCATGCACCACTATGCCTAGTCTTGGTGGCCAACAGAGCATGCATGTGGCAGGGCTGGCATAGCATGTTGTATTGGGGATCGAACTCGGGTCCTTGCGCTTGCCTAGGCAGGCACTTAGATCACTAAGTTATCTCCCCCCACTCCCCTGGACTTCTTACTTACCCTCTACCACATAGGCACTTTTTTTGTTTGGTCCTACTCTTGTTTTTCACCCTTTCCAGTGTTGGCTCCAACCCCACATGTTTGAAACTTTCTTCCCATTCGGTTGTATGTTCCTGCCTCTCAGTTTCCTGTGCTCTCTGTGCTGCTGTCTGTCATTTGCATGCTTTCTTTCCCTTTTTCCAGTGCTAGAGAGTGAACCCAAGGCCTTTGTACTGAGTGATATCCCCAGCCCTCTTTTTCCCCCGAGACAGCATTACAATAAGTCACCAAGGTGTATGGGTTAGCTTGACTTTCCAGTACTTGTGCTTCAGGCTCCAGGAGTCCTGGGGTTCAGGTGTGGACCACCGCTCCCCAGTTTCCGTTTGTTTCATACACATTTGTGATTTTGATACATATTTATATACTTAAGGCACATTTATCATTTTAAGTTTAGAATTATGATATTAGAATTACATGTTTATTTGAATATAGTCTGTATCTTTATTTAAATTATTATTCTTGTGAGGACAGTTCTTCAGTCCTTTGAAAAAAAACTTTCTGTAGCATGAGGTTATCTGTTGACTGACTGACTGGAAGAGCCCTCACAGGGCTTTTTTGTCACTGGCATACTTTCTGTTTCTTTGTCACTGGCATACTTTCTGTTCCAGCTCTGTGAATCTGGAGATTACTTACTATCTGTTGTGCCTTTTGCTCTTTTTAGCTGTCACTGTTTATAGATGCCCTACTGTAGTTTGTACTTCATTTATTTAGTGGATGATAGTGCTTGTTCATTCCCACCATTCTGTTGGGCTGTTCTCAGTGTATTTAGCAGTGATTTTCTTTAAAACAAGGCTTCATTAATTTCTCAAAATTACATAAAATGCAATGTGTTGATACTAATTATATGAATAATTGGCATCTGAATTGAGTTCTGTGATGAATTTCTTCTGCTATGATCCATTTCAGATAGGTTCTTACAGTGTGTCCTCAATGCAGTGAAGTTGTTTTATGCTGCATACTCTTCACCCCAGCAGCAAATTTAATAATCTTTGAACAAACATTCTTACTTTAAACAAACAGAACCTAAATGTCTGGTAACTTTAGTTTGTTTTCACCATTTGTCTGTTTACATTGCGATTTCTCTTGGTTTAAAAAATGAAATGAATATGGAATTCCTGAGTTACCTTTTTATATCATGCTAACTCTTCATAACATAATCCTGCTGTGTTAGGGAAATAGGAAACTAGTTAGGACTTTCTCTTAGAGACTGAATGCAATACATGCTTCGTGTTCATCTTAGATTTCATGCCAAGGAATCAAGTTTCTGGAATAACAAATTTTCTTCTCTTTGAAAAAAGCAGTGTTTTTGGTATATAACATGGTAGCATTTTTGAGCTCCATTGTATGCAAGGGAGAGCTTAGTATATGTTAGTACACAAGTGAGAGATTTAAGATATGTATAAGGAGGCTCAGGATTTGATACCCAGCAGTGGGAAAAAGGTGGACTGTAAGGGTGAGTGCTGGGTGCTGTTGATGTGGAAAACAGTTTCAGTCTCAAAAGCTGAAGTGCTGATAAATACCTTTTGCTGTTCAATCTAGCACCTTTTAATTTTATTATTTTCCATTATTAAAAATATTTATTTGGTATAGAGTCTTGCTATGCAGCTCAGAATTGTGGTGATCCTCCTGTCTCAGTCTCTTTAGCACTAGGATGCAGGTGTGCGCCACCATGCTTGGGTTTTGGTGGCCAGCACTGTGCACTTGGAGTCCTGGGGCCAGCACAGCGTGCGGCGCTAGGGATAAAACCTGGGTCCTTGCACTTACCAGCCAGTCACCTACACTGCTGAGCTATCTCCCCAGCCTAAGTACCTTTTTGATTAAAAAATAAGTCATATAGTCCCATTTTATTAAATGAACATTCCTTAAATTTATTTCATTTGGCACATTTATGATTGGAGAAATCGCTAAACCAATTTTTTAAAGTAAATAGAAAATTAACATTTAATCACTGTACCACAATTGTAGCTTTGTTTATCCCTTTTAAACTTTGAAACTTGTACTTAACTGTAATACTAAAACTATTTGGTATGTTTGTTTTTCTATGAGCTTTTTAACTATTTAAATTCCTGCATCAATTTTCTATTGAAGGCTGTACTGTAATGTATTTAATTAACTGTTGTATTTTCTAACTTTTAGGAAATATGCAGACTATATTAATTTCCATAGCAGACTTCTTAATTTGTGTGGTAATTTTTCACCTAGCATTATTATTAAGGTATTAAATTCTTGTTTGTCAACATAATTTCATAGAACATTTTTCTTGTGGCAACTGTGACATTTTATTATCACTTTTTGTATATGAAAATTATATATGCTTCTGAATATTTTAAAAACATAGTCTATGAGGTAACCAGAATCATCTATAGCTGGATATTTATAGAAACCTAATTTTCTGATTTTTTTTAAATTTTTTTTTAAATTTTTATTTATTTGAGAGAGAGAGAGAGAGAGAGAGTGTGTGTGTGTGTGTGTGTGTGTGTG